GGAAGACCGCTGGGGGGCCCTTCCCCCCTCTCCTGTAGCCAGCGCTCGAAGGAAGGCTGATGGCGAAGTTCAGTTTTCCAGGCTTCCCCTGGGCCCCCCGAGTTCCTGAGGCCCACACGAGGAGGCTGGGGGCTCCTCTGGCCGCCCAGGCGAGGCCACTCAGACGCTGCCCGCATGCCTCCCAGCGCCCTCGAGACTCTGAAGAGTTCTTCCCCGAAGATGGGTGGGATGCTGGCAGGGGAGACTTAAGGAAATAGGAAAAGTAGACTCGAGAAATGGCTCTTACAGAGTTTTGAATACGAAGTTTCCCCTTCCAGGCGCCATTTCTTTGAGAGGAGGAGGAGATCTATGGCTTTGTAAAAGAACCAAGTTTCAGGCATGGTGGCCTGGGTGGAAAGCCACCTGTTGACTGAAGTCTGTCCCTGGAGTCAGGGAGATCTTGGGCCTTAGCAGGGTGATGCAAGGTACCAGGGAGAGGAGACCCCAGACTTCCTGCCCTGGCTGACATCCTGGCATCCAGGTGCCACTGACACTGCAGCTGTGGCATCTTCAGCTCCCCATTAGAGACCACTGTACAAACCAGGTAGGTACTTTGTTAGAGCCACTTATCTCAGACAAACAAAACAAGCAGCACAGCCCTGTCCTCAGACGCAGAGCGCAATACACACTTCACTTCTTAAAGTTGGTCTGGGTCTGCTCCTTTGGGGTGTGAGCTGCCCCTATTTACATGCTTCTTGGCAGCAAGGTGAGAAAGGAGCTAAGACAAAGGGCACAGAGTTGGATGAAAGGACAGAAAAAGGGAGAGGGGGCACAGAAGAGTGGTAATACTACACTGAAAACTGTCAGCTGTTCCATTATAAACCCCTTTTATAGGTGTTTTATTACTTGGTTGTTAGTTTTTAAAACACAAACCTCTTTAGATTAAATCTTGGCATTCACAGGCTCAGTTCGGGGAAACAAAACACAGGGAACGATCCCCCTCCCGCCATGAGCTTGGCTACATTTTAGTTACATTACTGATAAAACAAGCAAACAGCAGCTTGGGTTTCCTCAGAGTCTCTCCCCACCTCTTTTATTTAGTATCTTCAGTAGCTGGCTTAAGGTGAATTTTTACAAGCCATTAGTTCATAATTCAATCTAGTTCATTTAGATATTTCAAAGAGAAGGACATTTATAAGGTATGCTTTTTTTATATATATAATGCAGGTGCTGGAATTTTTATTTTCCAAGAAGTTACTAAGTAAACTTAAGAATTCTGGCAGACACTTTAGCCTTTATGTTCTCTGTTCTCTCCCCCTTCACCCCCATGGTCTGCCCAGATGCACTTTTATTTTGTAACTTAGGTTTGAGTCCCCCAGACTGCATTTTATCTCAAGCAATAAAAATAAACCATGCCTTAATTAAAAACAAGTTTTAAAACCCCAAATCTGTACACTCAAACTAAAGTATGCTAAAGAAGCAACCAAAGACAATAAAACCCAAAAAGTCCACATTTAAGATGTCTTCAGCCAATGAATTGTGGGAGATTTATGAGCATCTAACCCTCGTTATCACTAATGAGTTGGCCACATGGATTTCCAGTGCATCAAGAAGTGAAGAGACACCTTAGGGAGAAATGGGACTTGTTTGCCTGAACTTGCGCTCCTGTAACCTCAGGACCTGGTGGACACAGAAGACAGAAATATCTTTTATCTAATATCTTAATGTGTTTTCTGAGATTCTTTTTTTAATAAACAAAGTTCTCCAACAGGGGCATGGCAAGGAAAAGGAATGTGTTGCTTTCCCATTGATACTCCTCTCTAACGTTACTTTTCCTTTGAGAAATCCTGGCTCTTCAGATAAGTGGGACTGAAAAGGGTAACAGAGACACAGCCAGAGATACTTAATGCTTACTCCTAAACCTCTCTCTTATCTGTGGTATCTCAACTCCTCTGCTGAGCCAAACAGCTCAATTAAGAAGTTAACCTAGAAATAACTTGAATTGGAAACCAGGCATCATGCAAAATTTGCAAGCTGACTATGCTGAAGGATTATGAATTCGGGGGCACATCTCACCAGTCCCCCTCCTCCCCCAAAACATCTGCCAACATCCACCACTGGCCAGAGCTACTGACAGCTACAGTTATGCTGGCTGGCATGGTTCACAGATCTCTGGCATCAGGATGACCTGGGAATGAGTGCTTAAAACTGTTCCTTTGGCCTAACCCCAGAGGTTCTGATTCAGTAGGTCTTAAGTGGGCTCCCAAATCTACATATTTAGTCCATGACTTTACTTGAAACTTACTGTCACTGAATTTAGGAAGCACTGGCCTTGGCTGAATCCTTTTACCCAGCTGGAAAGCAATGTTTCTTCTGTGAGTTTTAGCCAGGTGGTTACAGTCCCTGGTACTGGGATGATTCCATGGTCTGACCTATTTGTCCTTAGTCCTGAGTAAGGATTGAAAAGAAAAAAGGGAAAAAAATGCAGAGAATCTTCAGGAGCTGAAGGAACCTGGAGGGTTTGATCTGGGTTTTTTACTTGCTCTGAAGCAAGTCAGGCAAATAGCCTGATAAGAGGTGTCACATCCACAGAGGTACTAAAAAGTCCTTCTGAAGGAAACTGGGTAGGGAGGCAGCAACCAGGGACCCTGAACTGACTTGTTCAGGCCTCAGCCCATGATAAATTCCGTTACATTCAATTAGTCACTTAAGAAACATCAGTCTACACCCCGCCTTTCCAGCTGCCACATGGAA